AGCCTACTGATTCCAGAGGAGAGTCTCAGAGCCACAACCTGCTGTTTCCCTGGAGACTCAGGCCTCAAAATAAACAGGATTCTGCTCAGACGGGCCAGTAGTCCCTTCTGCTCAGGCATTTGCCCCAAGACAAACCACGTTAAAATAACACACAGGGTAGTTGCTGCCACTGTCTGCTGTCTCTGTGTCCCTCCCTGCTGGCCAATAGCTCTGCATTCCTGGGCTTGCTGCTGGCTATCCAGGGTTGGGGGCATCCCAGTGAGTGAGGTCGGCGTGGGTAGCTGTCTGAAGGCAGGTCCCCTCTGCTGATAAACAAGGGCCAGAGATAGCCATAGAGGCTGGCATTCCCAGCTCCACAGCCTGCCCCACCCCTTGTTTCCCACACAGCCCTGGGGATGGTAGCCGGCTCTGTGGCATGGTGTCTGGAGGCGGGCCAGCAACCTGATGTGCATGCCACAGCGCGTCCCTCTCCCCACACAGAGCTGCAGTAGCCTAGAGGTTCAGAGAGCCGACAGGGCTGCCGGGGAGGCAGCTGCAGCAAGGTGACAGTGACACACAGAGCAGACGACTCCAAGCAGGTTCTGCTTCCTCTGGGACGGTGCTGCGTGAGAGTGGAGAGAATACAGCCCTCAGCCCACAAGCTCTCCAGGTAAGAATCAGGGCATCTGTTCTGGGGGGGTAAGGAGCAGGTCATAATAGCCACAGCTGAGGCTGTGTTTCGGGGGGGTAGGGAGGGTGGGTAGATGTGTGTGCGCATGCGTGTGTGTGGCTGAGTACCCTGGAGAGGAAAGAAAAAAGGGAAAAGTTAAAGCAGAGAAATGTTTTAAGCAGATATTTCTGGAACCAGTACTCCTGCAGGTGAATCCCAAGAAGTGCTCTCTGGCTGGGTTGAAACTGTGGTGCAGACTACTCTGGGGGAAGGGCGTGTTGATGGCATATACACATAAAAATAGACTTACAGTGTAGAGACTGCAAAAATAATAATGCCCAAGCTGTTGCATTATCTTCATTCCCCAGTGCCAGCCTGAGGAGGGTGGAGGCAGGAATTTCTCATCTACTCAAGAGCTGAACGCGGCTCTTGTTGTTCTGCAGAAGCGGAAGGCTCTGTGGCCGTGGGGAGCCTGGCTGGCCCTACCTTGCTGTGTCACACTCACCCTCTTGGGCAGCTGGGAAATTCAGCTGCCTTGGAAAACCTGACCACTGCTTAGATTTTATCGACCTTTTGATATAAAAGTCAGGCTGGAATTTAGGATTATCTGAGCCTGTCAGCTCAGGGTTTGGGCAGGATGGTATTCTGGTGGCCCCACGATTACCGGATGGCTTCTTCCCTTCCCTTCTGACCTTCCTGGAATATCACATCCTCATTTCAGTACCTCCTCCGATGGGCACCAGCAGAGAAGGAGCAGAATGGGAACCGTGGGCGCATCCTCTGGCATGTATACACGCTCGCCACACCCACGGTTGCTATTACATGCCAGAAGTATCCAAGGCTCCTACAGAAGAACCCTTGAGAAGTTCAGACCTCCAGGTGCTGACATGGGAATTTCAGGCATTTAATCAAGTAGCCAGTTTTCAGAGACCCAAGTGCCCACTCAATGTCTCAGCAGAATTCAGAACACCCTGTGCTTTCCCTAGCCCTTTTACATCCACCCCCTTCTTCCTCCTTCCCTTCTGCTCTGGTGACAAGCACTTTTCCTTTCATTCTCTACAGGGATGTGGTTGTTTATGACTTAGCTCCAGTGGGAGGACATGAGCATCCTGCCGAGGCTTTGCTGGCTTTGCACGAGGATGAGCCCGCCCGCCTGACAGTGGCGAAGGGAATGGGACTTGCTTTGGGAAGTGGTGTCTAGCAGAGGGCTGGCCAGCTGTTTACTGGGGCTGTTAGTGGTGACTCTGATTCACAGGCACAAATTCCCTTCTTTGTTTTCTTTGTGTTGGTCATTGAGGACTTCCGAGGAAAGTCCCCTCTTAGGCTTATAGCTCTGAAGGCAACAGTACCAATCTGCTGCTGAGGGCAGCTGGCAGAA